GAACAATAAGGGGAGGAGCAGGCTAAAGAAATTCCTATTCCCCAAGAGTTTCCTTTTAAGCACAAGGTGGGTGTGTCTCCCTCCAACATAAAACACATCCTAAAATAAACATGCACAATTATTTGTGAATATACACATTCCTTATGGTATGTGTATGGCAGAGTTGTTTTGTGTCCAGGACCTTTCAAGTGGCTCAGACAGCAAAGGAAGCAGAAACTGAAGCAGAATGAAATTGTGGTGGTAAAAGGCAAGCAGCAGGCTTTCTTTTCAGTAATTATTTGGGTTATTTTTTAAACAAACACTAGTACTCCTCCCTCCTTGTTTAAGGAACTTTGTGAAAGGCAAGATCAACACACGGAGGAGTTAGGAAAAACTATGGAAGGAATCAGTAATGACCAGTAGCTGGCACAAGTGGGTAAGAGTAGGACAATGCGATGCCTGTTATTACCATACTATGAGCAGGGTCCACTACCTTAAGCTCTCTTCCACTAGCAATGTTACTGAAGGTGGCAGAAGGAAAAACTCAAGGCTACTTGATTGCTTTTGCTGTAGACATTTATCACCTAAGACATTTTCACCTAAGAGAAAGTGCATAACTGTGCTTAAGCTATACTTTTTTAAGTGGATGTCTGCATAGTTATTTTACATAAAGGAAATGAGTTCAGCACATAATTTTATTTCAAATTTCTTTATAAAACAAAGTTTGGGAGATCCTGACATTCTCTACAGTTCGGTCTTCTTCTCATTACTCAGTGTTTCAGTATAGACACTCTGTCTCACAAGAACAAGAACGAGGATGCAGAGGCTGTGCTCAAGCCTTGTTGCATCCCAGGAATGGAGTTGGTACATCCTAGGAAAAGCCAGACACTGCAGGAAGTGGTATAATACCCCCACAGTGATGTTTCTTCCTTGGAGTTAATCCTGAAACCGCCTTGTTCTGGTAGTAAGGGGTCCACTGATTTCTGGTGGGAAAGGTGTAGGGACTCAGTTTTAGCTGATTTCATGCATTTTACTAAAAGAAAGTTAGTTTAGGATGTTCAGTTGAAATTGGTTGCAATATGGACAGTGGGACTGAGTGCACCCTCGGCAAGTTTGCCGATGACACCAAGCTGTGTGGTTCAGTTGATACACTGCAGGGAAGTGATGACATCCAGAGGGACCTCGACACGCTTGTGAAGTGGGCTGATGCTGACCTTACGAAGTTCAACCAAGCCAAGTTCAAGGTCCTACACCTGGGTCGGAGCAATCCCAGGCACAGCTACAGGTTGGGTGGAAAAGAGATTCAGAGCAGCCCTGGGGAGAAGGACTTGGGGGTGTTGGTCGATGAGAAAATGAACATGAGCCGGCTTCAGTGTGTGCTCACAGCCCAGAAAGCCAACCGTATCCTGGGCTGCATCAAAAGGAGCGTGACCAGCAGGTTGAAGGAGGTGATCCTGCCCCTCTACTCTGCTCTTGTGAGACCTCACCTGGAGTATTGTGTGCAGTTCTGGTGTCCTCAACATAAAAAGGACATGGAACTGTTGGAGCAAGTCCAGAGGAGGCCATGAGGATGATCAGGGGACTGGAGCACCTCCTGTATGAAGACAGGCTGAGAAAGTTGGGGCTGTTCAGCCTGGAGAAGAGAAGGCTGCGTGGAGACCTCACAGCAGCCTTCCAGTATCTGAAGGGGGCCTATAGGGATGCTGGGGAGGGACTTTTCATCAAGGACTGTAGTGCTAGGACAAGGGGTAACGGGTTCAAACTTAAACAGGGGAAGTTCAGGTTCGATATAAGGAGGAAATTCTTTCCTGTTAGGGTGCTGAGGCACTGGAATGGGTTGCCCAGGGAGGTTGTGAATGCTCCATCCCTGGTGGTGTTCAAGGCCAGGTTGCACAGAGCCTTGGGTGAGATGGTTTAGTGTGAGGTGTCCCTGCCCATGGCAGGGGGATTGGAACTGGATGATCTTAAGGTCCTCTCCTAAATATTCTATGGTTTTATGATTCTATAATAAGTGATGTAAAACTCCAAAAGGGAGATCTGGCTGGGGCCGGATTTACAAGATACTCAATACACTTCTATTCCCTCCCTGTTTTTAACTGGCAAGTTTTCAGCACTCTGCAGCCTTTGACTGCAGCAGACTTGCTGCTGGCTGCAACAGAAGCAATGGTACTTCAGTGACGGACAAATGTTTGGCACATAATGTTTCCAAAATAATCTGGAGGGGAAGTTTAGCTCCCCATTCTGTGACTGCAATAATGAGACATGCCCTGCAGCTCAAAGCAGCAGTGTATACTGTGAAGCAGCAGCATACACTACAGTACTGGAGACTGGTGATATGCAGTTCTCTCTCCCTCCTTTTCCACAAGTTCTTGAAGCTGGACTAGATAAAAGCCAGATACAGAACAATTCTTAATCAGTACATGTGACTGATTAGAACAGACTTTTCACTCCTTCTGTGCTAAGATCACTTACTCAGTTTTAAACTAAATCTCTCTGATGTCTGATAATTCTAGAAAGACTGTTTTCTAACTACAACAGAATGCCAAACTGACAGCATTTTTCTGAGTGCAGAAAGAAATTTCAGCAAGGTTAAGCAGATCAGAAGAAATGGCCTCTTACATCTCCCAGGGTCTAACGAAACAAATGTGCCAGCATTAATTTAAAGCAGATTACTCCAGTTGAAGATAACAGTAAGAAAAGTACCATGACAGCAAATATCGAACAATCAGAGAATCATTTTTAAGCAGTTTGCAGCCAGCATTACTTCATTTCAGTATGGTGCACAGCTGAATTTTAATTGTATTCACTTCCAGATGTCGAAAGTCTGCATTCCAAAATACTCAAAATATAGCAGCACAGTAGCTACACTCCTGAACCTTATACTGTGATTTAGGATAGGTTTTTGCATAGGAACCATGTCCAAATGGTGTCTCTTGAGATGATGTTCCCCTATTTCATGTGTGTAGGGCATGAAGATTTTGCACAAAGAATTGTTCCTGTCTCTCTCATGGTGAAATAGTTTGTTCTGTGCTTTTTCTTACAATGGAGAGCTTCCCCTTTTCCACTAGAATGTGTTAATTAAAAATAGAAAAAGAATTAAAGATTTTTGATGGACTGACCATGTAGTTACCTATTGATGTCTAGGAAACCTTAGTAAGAGCAAAATGCTTTTCTTTACTTCTTACCATCTGTAACCATTTGGTGTGCTGGCTTCTTCACACCACATATTTCATCTCATCTAAAATCTCATGAGGGAAGATCCCTATTGTTGCCTATTTATGTGGCCTTTCAGCATTTCATTTAGTTATTTAAAGAATATTCATTTCAGGATGAAGACAGCTAGAAATGGCTGTGGCACGTAAACTGCACTGTGAGTAAAATGGCCATATATGACTTAATTCGTCTAGCTTCAATCTAGCTTATTGTCAGTCTGCTTGAATTCCCCTGCACGAGTGTCAGCACTTTCACTAGAAATAATCTGGAGACCCTGGTTGGCCTTGATTTACAAAATAATTCACTTTTTTAAACATGTACTGTCAGTGCAGATTGTACCTGCAAGGGATCCTAGCCTTTACGGGAGGTTAGAGGATATTTTCACTAAAGAAAGGATTGAAGAGGCTGTACAGTGAAAACTTAACCTAATAACTCCATATTTTGGGTTGAGGTATTTCATCCAGTGCATTACAGCTGCATAACCAGTGTAAACTATTAGTCAAGCTTTTAGAAAATCATCTTAATACCTCAGGATTATGTTGGCTGACAAACAACATGTAACTCCGTATTGTTACCAGGGTAAAGGCAAATGGGAAGCCTGTGTGTCTGGGCACCATGTGTTCACTTCGGTTTGCCTGGGTTGAGTTAAACCTTGATCTGTTGGTAGAAACTAATTTTGTTCAATGCTGAATTCTGCAAACTATGTGTTGAAATTAAAATCATTGCTACAAAGTGCTTGTACTGTGTTACAGGAGCGGCTGCTATAGCTGAAAGACATTTCTTACATTGCGGTGAAACACTTCAGCATCACTGAATCAAAATGTTCATATTAATCTTAGGGCAAAGAGATTTCTGGGGCAGAATCAAGAAGACTCTGATGTCATTAGTACTTCTGAGTGCAGGGGTACTGGTCATCTGCGGGTACCTGTGTATGGTACCCTCTTGGCTCTGCAGCCTTACATCTTTCTTTTCCCACATGTGCTACGGCTGCATCTAGTTCAGAACAGTTCAGTTTTGACCTTAAGCCATGTTCCCTGGAACAGCTACACGTAGTGCCACATAGAAGCACAGAGTATGTGCTTCACTCTGTCAAGTCTCTCTTAAGTGCTGAACCTTTAATTGGTTGGACACCCTTGGCTTTAGAAGTTGCTGGTATAAGATAACATCTACTGTAGGGTATATTCTGCTGGCTTTAATAAGTGTCCTGGGCTCAGCAGTAGCAGTAATTTTTTCTCCTTAGTAGCTGGTGCAGTGCTGTGTTTTGACTTTTGGCCTCGGAACGGAGCTGATAACAATGATGTTTGAGTCTGACCAAGGACTTTGTGAGCCTCAGGCTCTGCCAGGGAGGAGGGGAAGCCGGGAGGAAGCAGAGACAGGACACCTGACCCAAACTGACCAAAGAGGTATTCCATACCACAGCACGTCATGCCCAGGATGTCACTGAGAGTTAGCCGGAAGGGCTGGTAGACTGCAGGGTTGGACGAGGTATCGGTCAGTGCTTGGTTGGGCTGGGGGGGGGAATTACTGCTGGTGCTGAGGTGTTGTATTCTCTTCCCTTGTTATTTCCCTTATCATTACTGGTGGTAGCAGCAGTGATTTGTGTTATGCCTTAGTTACTAAACTGTTCTTATCTCAGCCTATTGGAGTTGCATTCTTTTTAATTCTCCTCTCTGTCCCTCTGGGAACAGGGGGAGGGCAAGAAGGGGGGGAGGGGGGGGAGTGAGTAGTGAATGAGTTGCCTGACTGGTTTTAAACCACGACAATAAGAAACCAAGATGACTGACATGGCTTTTCTCTCTTTTCTCCAGAAATCACAAAGCCACCACTAGCACCGAAACCAAAGATTATTGGTCATCTTTCTCCAGTAGCTGTCTCCAAATTTTCTCCTTCACTGCCAAGGGCTGATATTCTTCATAGCCCAAACTCTATGTCGAGGGGTCCCAAACCACCTATCGCTCCCAAGCCAAAATTGTCAGCTGACACTGAGGGCAAATCAGGTGTTTATACCAACAATAACTTAAATAAATGCTCAAATGGGAAACTGGTATGTCTTGATGGAGAGCTGTATGAAGGAAACCAATGCAGTGCTGATTGCTCAGAATCTGAGGCAGAAAATGAATACATTGTAGTTCCTGAAGCTCAGCTGACCAGCAAAGACTGTGATGACTTGGAACATGAGCATGATCAGAACCTAGATTTCTCTGTGGAAAATGAAGTCTTGGGAACTCCACAAGAGCTAGAGATGGAAGAGAATATCATTGCTAATGATGAGGATACCAGTGATCGAGAAGCCATGGAAGATGAACACCATAACTCTTCAGATATTGCTGAATCAATGGAACCACACTCTGAAGAGTCAACCAGAGACTGTGACCAGTCTGAAGCACTTTGTGAGGAGTCCTCAAATGCCCCTGATGGGGATAGTGATGCTTCCAAAAATGTAAATGAGGAGGAGGAGGACGTAGGTGATTATAGTGAAACCAAAAACAAGGAGGACACTTCTAACAACCTGGAACTGGTTAAGGACAACAGTGATTTTAAGACTGACACTGATAACACTATAAATAGGGATGAGGAACTAATGGGTGATATGCTTAAAGATACCACTGTAATGCCACTACCTGCAGACGAATCAATCCCAGGTTGTGAGAAGGCAGGACAGGAGGAGGAGGAACTGCTGGAGATTTTAGAAAAGGGAGATGGGTGTCTAGCACATGATGGTGACCACACTGCACATGCAAAGCTTGATTTAAACATAGAAGGGGACTTAGAAAATGATGGCTGTGCAAGCCCTGACATGCTGCCTGATAAGGCCAATGAAGAAATCACTCCTGGCATAGAACCATGTGAAGATGAACCCAGTGCTGAAAGTGGTTTAGGAGCGTCCATCCACCAAGCAGTAGCTGAAGAGGAAGAAGCAGACCCAAATGAGTCCAATAATACAAACACAGGAAATGACGGGGATGGCTGCCAGATCACTGAGAGGAGTGATGAGAAGACATCAGAGGTAGCCTGTGAAGCAAGCAACAACTCTGGGAGAGGAGAAGAGGAAACTGTGAATGCACAGAGTATGGATGATAGCTGTCAAAATGCTCCGTGTGAGAATGAATGTGATGAGGAAATACCCATGGGACATTCAGATGAGAATCTTCAAACAGAAGGGATCTCTCTGGATGAAGATGGTGGGATCTCTGAAAGTCTACCTACTAGTCCAGGGATGGAGCCTGAGCTGGAAAATGTGACTGTTGAAGAGCATGGTGAAAGTATGGTGGAAACCTCTAATTCAGATAAGCTGCAACTTGAAGACAATGAGGTAGAAGCAAACAGCCTCAGTCAAAGTGTCCCAAGTCCACCTCAACAGATCCCACTTGAGGAAGAGTTAGGAGTCTGTAAGCATGGCAAAATGAATGTCGAATGTGGGACCAGTCATGTCTTGCATGAAAATCTAGCAGTTCCTGAAGTGGTGATTGTGCCTGAAGAATGTGAGGAAAAAGAAACTAACAGCGATTCCCTAGATGACCCTTACGTGCTTCCTACAGAAAATGAAATTGCTTATGATGGGCAGACTGATTTAGGAGCTGATCACAATAAACAGGATGAATTGGGCATGGATGGTGAAAACAACTTGCTGCCCATTGATCGTAAAAGTATTGTCACCAGGACACGGTCGCTCTCTGGGAAAATGCCAGGCTACGTCCCAGAAACAGTGCCAGAAGAAACTGGACCTGAAACTGGTTTGCCATCTTCCCACAATGGCCCTGGTACAGATTTAAGCAATAGCTTTTTTACAGTGGAAGGAAAACCAATGGAAGCCAACAGGGCATTACGAACGAAGTCAAGACGTTTCATTTTATATCCTCGATCTTACTCTGTTGAGGGGAGAGAGATACCTGTCTCTGTTTACAGAGAAAGTGATGGCTGTGTACTGGACGATGGTAGAATAAAAAGGACAGAAGACAATTTGTCGTTGCCTTGTGTCAATGGCTCCTCTGGTAGTTTTTCCCAGAGAAATCATCCTTCATCATGTGGCCTATCTACTCCATCCTCAGTTGTGGATATACCACCTCCTTTTGAACTTGCCTACATCACCAAAAAGCCAATCACTAAAAGTTCCCCTTCACTTTTGATAGAGAATGATTCACCTGATAAGTATTCCAAGAAAAAGAAGTCTTCCTTTAAGAGGTTCCTCACTCTAAAATTCAAGAAAAAAGCTGAAAGTAAAGTCCATGTAGATGTTAATGTTTCCTCTTCAAGGTCCTCATCAGAGTCCAGCTATCATGGGCCTCCAAGGCTGATGGAGCTGGACAGGAGAAGCCTAAGTAACTCACCTCAACTAAAATCACATGTGGGCAAACTCCGTGCATCTGAGTCTCCCTCAGCTGTGCTTTTCTATAAGGACAGTAAAAGAAAAGGAACACCCAAGTCCTTCAGCAGGAGTGTGTCAAGAGTGGAATCTTTCGAGGACCGGACCAGACCTCCTTTCATGCCACTCCCATTAACAAAGCCCAGGTCCATTTCTTTTCCCAATGCTGACACATCTGACTATGAGAACATTCCTGCTATGAGCTCTGATTATGAAAACATACAAATTCCTCCTCGAAGATCCACCAGAGCAGGAACTTTTACTGAATTTTTTGAAGATCCCAGCAGGGCAATATCTGCTGCTAATGAGAATGATGGCTATGTGGATATGAGCAGCTTCACTGGCTTTGAGAACAAGCAGCAAATCACAGACCAGGAAACAGAAAGGTACTGTAATAAGCTATTATGTAAGACCTGTTAGCCTTGGCCAGATGGGCAAGGCCTCCCCTGCTATGTATCATAGGCAGATCCTCCACGTTGCTTGGCCTATACCCCTCTCAGGAAATGCTTAAGAGAAAGATTGGAAGAATACAAGATGAGCCTTTGTGAGTGGGGAAAAAAAACAAAAAACAAAACCCAAGCAAAAAAAAAGCATTTAAAAATACTTGGTTTATCCAATGGGTCTAATTTCTGTGGCTTGGGTGGGTGGGGGCAGCTTGCTTTGTTGTTCAGTAGGAAAGGTTTCTGACTTCTCGACTGAAGGAAAAGAGAGCCAATTTCCTGGAAGGGGTCCTGTTTCATTTTTTCATTCCAGTCAAGTTCTCAAAGCAGCAATATACACATAATTTATCTTTCCACATGCATCAGGGAAGTACAGACCAGAAAATCCCAAATCATGAGCTAATCAGACTAGACAATTAATTTTAGAAGTTGCTTTAAAGCTTATGATTATTGCCCTCTGACAGAGCTGCTGATTTATAGATGAGTTAAATTGCAAACAAAAAATGTTCTTTTCATAGTTATATAGGAGGAGTGCACTCAAGACCTTTGAGTTTGAATCTGTGGTCAGATTATAGCATACAATCAGTGGAGTGCAGAGATGTAAATAAGAGTGTTTGCCATTAAGTTCATGTTAAACAGGTAATGAGAAAACAAGGTGCAAAGCCAGTAAATGAAAAGGAATGTCTTTAATGCAGTTGCGTTGTTAAATGTGTGAAAAAGATAAACATCTTAGAAGCAAGGGGTTCATGTCCATTTTCATCTATCATTCTTCTAAAGATTTAATACTTCTTTGTTTCTTTATTTGTTTCTTGTTTGTTTCTTTGCAACATTTATTTTTTCTGATCTTCTCCTCGTCATTGTGAATGTAACAAACAACGGGCATTTCACACGTCCCTCTTTTGATATTTCAGACTTGAGGAGTAAAAGAACTTTAACAGCTCTGAATAAATCTTGCAAAGGATTTCTAAGCAAGAATGATGTACAGTGCTTTGTATTTCTGAGAGAGACAAGAACTGGCAGGGGTGGGGGAGGCAAGTATGGCATGGGGAACAAGGTTGCATCACTGCACAAGCCGTGGACCCAAATGTGCCCAAAGCTGAGGAGTCTGGGATGCAGGCTGATGGTCCAGCTGTGGACATGTTGGCCGCCCACAGTGTTGGGAGCCCTAGTTCCAACACTGGGAAGTGGGGGAGCACAGTGGAGCTCCACAGCACACACATCTGCAGGGTAGTGCTGGGCAGAAGCTGTGCTAGCAGGGCCAGACAGCCTGTTCCTCACTCTGCTTTCAGCAGTTAGCACTCTGTGCAGCAGGCTGATGCTTGCGTGTGGAAAAGCTGGCCAGTCCTTTGTGTTCATGAAAAGCCGCCCATCTTAGGTAGTTCTTGAAGAACCAAGTTAAAAATACTAAAACTACGTCAATTGCTGTGACTTGGGCCCATTTATGAACTTCCTGTGGAAGCCTGTTGTTTCAAAGGGAGAGCCAATCCAAACTGGTTCAGGAAGTCTCAAGGTCAAGGCATGAACATATTTTTTCAGTCTGCTGCTTGTTGTGCATGCAGTTTTTGCTGTTTGGGGAGAAATGAAGGCTAGGCTCCTGACCAGCCCCTTTATCAAAATAACCAGGGTGGAGGGAAAGAGCATCAGGCAGACAGCAATGCATACATTGCTGCTGAGATAGCTACTATTTGCTTTATTTGTCAGGATATTTTGGACAAAGACGAAGCTTTGATGAAATTAAGTGGGTAATACACATCCAATAGCACAATATACTTGGAGAAACAGCATCTGGTTTGATCATAAAGCAAAGCAAATCCTACAACGACAAAGACATGAACCTATTTATGCAAGCATATGTGATGTATGGACATGAATGTTTTATTTCCTACTAAAGCAGTTCTGCCTAAAATATCTCACAATAGATTTAAGCTCTATAATATGAATACCTATAAAACACAGCCCTACCACAACCACACAGGGATTAAAATTACTTTGAACTCCTGCCTGCTCATATCCCGAGGCATACTTCAACCATTTGAGATTACAAATGTGCTGGATTAAACCCTTGCAATATGTGAGACTTGAGCCCATGAACTTCTCTTTGGAGCATTCACCTGCAGAGCACTGGTATTTAGTGTCTGCTGATCCCTTATGGAATTGCTACATTTTTGATGAATGGCCAAGTGCAACACTTTCATTCCATTTCAGAGAACAGAATGTGAGAGTGCTAGAAAAAATTATAATAATCCAGGAACCTCCAATACCCTGTTTGACTGGGGAAGAGCAAGGCAGGAGGGGGTTTTACAGAGATTGACAGGTGAGAAGATTCACTGTTTAATTTTCTTGCTTAAAAGTAAAGCCCATGTGGAGTAGATTCAAAGCAATAATTTCTAATTAGAAGCAATCAAGTTTATAGAAAAAGTACAATAATGACAGTGTTCTAGAAATGTATCTTAACTTAGAATTACCATTGCAAGAATAGAACTGGGAATATTGCCCCCTGAAGTGCAGTTATTGAAGTGCAGTTATCCCCAACATTTAGCTATGTGGTATCAATAATTAAACTCTGATTCGGGTGTATGACAGTATAGATCATCATTAGCCTTCTGTACAGTATAGAAATAGTGGGACATATGTGGAATTGAACAAAATTCCCCTGTTCTTTCTCCAGTCCAGATAGCCTGAATCAGACTCAATTTTCATTTGCTTTTTGAAAGTCACTTTCTAGCCCCTTTCCTCTGAAGAGCTGAGCTATAAAGTGCAGAGCAACACAAGCCAATTGTTCTGCCTGAAAGCAAGAGGCAGGTGTGCCCCACCTCTGGGACAGCACACTGTACCTTATGGCATTGCCTTGTCCCTGGCAGCTGTAAGTCAGAGCAATTTCACCAAAGTTACTGGCTAAACTTCCATCACATGAAAGCCAGAACTGAAGTATTCTGTCATGTCTTAAAGAATAGCTTAATTAACCCAGCTTGACCTTCAGAGCATCAGCCAAGCACATGGCAGTCTGATAAACATCAAGGGTATGGGAGACACCTCAAACACTCATTCTGTAGTCTACCATAGTACCACTTCCAGTGCTTTTAAGAGAGATGGAGAGAGTCTTTTGTCAAAGTTTTGGTACAGTGAGGAGGATGGCACAGGCTGGGTGTTTTCAGAATTTCATTACCTCGTTTTGCTTTCTACTTAGAATCCATAATATGGATTTACCAGTTTTGCCAAGTCTCAGTCATTCTTTCTGCCTGCCATAGATCATAGCCTCAGTATGCTTTCCTCATTGCCAAAATATCCTGGAGTATTTTGGAATCTTGTGGTTCACATATTCAGTCCGTCATTCAAAAAAATGTAGCTATAATTGCAGTTCATAAAACAACTCCGTTCTCCTGTTAGAAAAGAAACCAGAATTGTTTTAAAAGGGTGGTCTGCTTTACTCAAATTCACACACTTAAACTCATTCCAGGAGTATGAGAGAGCTGGGAAGGTTTCTGTAAAGGATATTAGAAGAGTTTCAGAAGTCTCTGCATGACTAGTTAGAGATGCCTTTCATTCAAATATTAATTAGACAATCAACAGAGACTTTAAAGGATTTTTCAGAAGATGGTTGGGATTAGACTCTGGCCCTGCAGATCTCTATTGCTTGTAAGCAAAAAGCACTTTTTCTTCTTTTATATATAATAAATGTTATTACCATTCTTTTCCTTTAAAGGCTTTTACTCTTTAATAAGAGGGTAAGTAGGAAAAACCTTCTTCCCCTCTAGTGATAACTCACCTCATGTGCTTTAGTCACAGATAGGTGTGTTTGTAAAAGTGTGTGTAAGAAAAGAAGTGAGAAAGAAAAAGGGCAGATAGCCTGCATGCTAGAGAATTAACTGCAGAGCTCATGCCATCCAGTGTCTATGCCTGAACTATGTAGCACTCAAAAGCCCTTAAAACCAAAACACAGTCTGTTTGGAAGGTTACTGTCATTAAAGCATGAACATAGAGATGCTAATTCCCTGCTATGCTGAAGTCCTCAGTAGATGTTGGCTTTATTAGCAGCTGGACTCCATTCTGACAGCTACTTTTCTGATCAAATTACAGTGCAGAGAAGGAGGAGTGTGTACATGTGGGCATCTTCATGTCCTGAGGGCTTGTAAGGCTGGGTAGATTTCTTTGTCTTCTCTGTTTACATTATATGAGCCAGTAACGCATTTCAGTGGGGTTACACAAGAGGAGAGAGTCCGCTGTGTATTGCAGATTTGCCCTGCATGATGGTTAGACATGATATTGGTGTGATTTAAGCATTCCCAGCACCACACACAAAAAAAAGCATGTACTGCAGACAGGGTGATGAGACTGCAGATCAGCAAGATGCAGCCTGTTTAAAATGGTCAGGTCTCTTACTGTCACTGAGTGTTCTACGCATGCCTTTCTCCTCTCCCACCCCCACCCTGAGCCTTACTGAGAAGATTTATTGAATTAGAGGTTGCACATTACAATTCTGCCGCCTTTCCAGAATCCACCGCTCAACAATACAGGGGCTATCTCTAGATTAGATTTGCAACAAACCCAGCAGAATGCTATTGCATTTTAAACGAAAATCTAATCTAGGAGTTTATGGTTTGTTGTGCCACCCAGCAAAGTTATTTATAATGTACAGCACATTTTTAATTATCCTACAAGAGTTCTTCTTTTACAGGACCCAAGGGGGTTAATGTAAAAACTGTCTTAAAGATTTGCTGGTCAGTGCCATACAACAATTAATTTTATCTTGAGCAACCAATTAGAGTTAATGGATGGAAGAATATATTTAAGAAGCAATCTGTTTTGCCAAGACCCCTTTAAAAAGAACCCTTTCACTTGAGTAATTGGCTGGATTAATTAGATGCTATCCTTAAAAGGCCTGGAGCAAACAGACCTTTCATCAGTGAACACCTTTTCGTGCTCTGGCTCATGCTGCATCAGCTTTA